TAATTCTGTTTATAGAGTTCGTCATGATGTTTGGTATGCTAGATCTTCTCCGGCGAGGCTTGCTAAATTCAAGGCATGTATTGATGAGGAGAGCATGGACTATAAAGGTTTAGTTTCTCTAGATGTTGAGACTCGTTGGAATTCAACTTATTTGATGTTAGTATCCGCATCAAAACATGAAATAACCTTTGAAGAATTAGGTTTTCGAGATAAAAGGTACGTGAAACTTTATTTTGTTTATGTTTGTTAATTTTGAGAAGATGAAAGGTTAGCATTAGGGCAAGCTTTGGCTATAACTTCAATGATGCCAAGTTCCAAAGCTTATTTTAGAATCATTGGAACAGAAAATGGGAAGTAGATATCATAAGTTGTAAATTTATACTGATCTAGGAGGACCATTCTTTATGTAATTGATTATATGCATATATATTACCCTAACACTGTAATCAATTTATCATCAAGTTTCAAAAACAAGTGTCGAAATGGAATACCAAAAAAGAAGAAAAAATGTGTTTTTGCATGCCTTTCATTTATGATATGGTCGAATTATTTGATCAACACTATTCCAACTTGGAATCCGCTGTCAAGATTCTAATTGATTTTATGTAATGGAATGGAACACATTCACACTTTTAAAAACTCCATCATTTTGCCACTTCTTCAGCCTTAGGTACATGCTTTTCATTCACAATTCTGTTTTTTTTTTATTCAAATCAATCTTATATTTTCGTTGCTGTTATGAGTTCAAGTGCTTCAAATCAAATGTTTCTGTCTTATGGCCCACCACTACAGTTTTTCTTAAAGAAATTGGTAGACTTTTGATCATTTTATACTTATTTTTTTAGTATTAACTTGGCTTGTTATAATGATAAAACACTTTTCTTTTTGGTATTGTTGTTTTGTTGTTTCTGATTTATGGATTCCAAGGTAGATGTATATACTTTTTCACCTACTATGTTTTGACTTTTGGAAAATAAGGATCTTTTGTGTATTTTATTTTTCTCTTTTTCCCATTTGGATTTTTCATGATTGAAAGCTGAATTTTTACTTTCTTATATGAAATTGTATTATGCTCATTTTTTAAAGTTTGATTTCAGCTTATCTTGTTGCATGAATCTTTATGAATCAGCCCATTTTGGTGCATGGATTTGGGACACTTCAAATTGAAAATATTTTGGTAGGAATCACAATGAAACTATGAAACAATTCATCATTATATAAACACATAAATCATACGTAACTTTCCACATCCAAAAAACATCTAAACAACAACTATAGTAGTGTTTTGAAATGACACATTCTTCTCTGTCAATAAGTTTTGTTGTTGTTTTTGTGCTAGGTATGTGAATGAGTTGACAAAGAAGGGAAAAGGTGTCTCGACGAAAGATGATTGGAAGCATATCAACTTAACCATTCCATTCTTGAAGTTGTTTTATGATGCTACAGTACACATATCAGGGTCATCTTATTTGACAAGCAATATTTATATGTTTGAGGTCCTGGGTATTGGAAACAGCATTGCGGATATGTGTGCGTCTGAAGATGAACATCTACTTTCAGCAGCTCAAAAGATGAAGAAGAAGTATGATAAGTATTGGGGATCTCATGAGAAGCTTAATATGATTTTGTTGATTGCTTTAGTTTTCGACCCTAGGCGCAAGATTAAATTGGTTGATTAGATGGTAAGGCGGTACTACAATAAGGATGGTGCCGATGCCTTGAAAGCAAACTTAGATTTCTACTTGAAATCTATTTATGAAGAACATTGTGCTGGATTTATGCCTCCTCAAGGTAATTCAGATGAGCCGCAAGTTTTTGGTAGTGTTAGTCATCCTTATGGAATTGCTGAGTTCTATCTTTTAGAAGGGTGTGACAATGCAGATAATGAATTAAGTACTTATCTTGGAGAGAAGTTGGAGCATAACATGGAGATAAATGTTTTAGAGTGGTGGAAAGTTAACTTTGGCTGATATCCCATCCTTGCAAACATTGCAAGAGACACGCTGGCTATACCTATAAGCACAGTGGCGTCTGAATCTACATTTAGTACATGAGAAAGAGTGCTTGATCCATATCGCAGCTCGTTAACACCTACAATAGTTGAAGCACTGATTTGCACCCAGGATTGGCTCAAAGGAACATCTTCATCCTTGATTACAAATGAAGATTTTGATATTCTTGAAAGATTTGAGCAAGGTATGATAGCTAACTATATTTCCTAATGTATTATTATTTATTATACTTGAGGCATAATGAAATGTCTTTATATGTTTTGTAGAATTAGTTTATACAGAAGATGGTGTTAGTTGTTCAACCTCTTCAACCTCAGTTGCATTCGAAGATGACTTAATGGTATTTTTGATTAAGTTTTCCCCTTTATTACCCTTAGTTTTCTACTTTTTAATTGGAAGACATTGTTGTTACCCTTAGTTTTCTATTTTTTAATTGGAAGACATTGTTGTTCTGTTGTGATAGTGAGTATAAATTTTCATTCAACTGGTGTGAATAGGATGAGAGGTGGATATGGCATTCATATCACATGTACAACTTGGACCATACGAAACAAAATGTCTCTCGCAGTGTTCACTGCTCTCAGCATCGATGTTGCAGTTCCTGTCTTTGCAATAATAATTTGGTGGATTTGGGAATCATAGAGTAACATATTGGTTTTAATGATTTTTGTCTTATTACTTTGACTATGTTCATGTTTAATTTTCTATATGGATTTTACATATATGTAATAATCAATTTTTCTGCACTGCCAAATACTCGTGCTTGAATATTTTCATTTCTTAATACAAAGTATAGAATTAAAATGTTTCAGGTGATTTATCAATTATTTGATAGTTTGCAATAAAATTGATTTTTAAAAAAAATTGGTAAGAAAATAAAAAACTGGTTTTGAGAGAAACCGGTTTAAAACTGATTTTTAAAAAAACTTTTTTTTTTAAAAAACCGGTTTGAAACCGAACCAATCCACTTGTAAACCGGTTTTAAAAAAATAAACCGGTTTTATATAAATGATTTTAAGATTCAAACTAAACCATATATGTAGTTCGGTTTGGTTTGATTTATAATCCATGCATACCCCTAATGACCTCGAAATATGCAATAATGGAGAAACATGTGAAAGTCAAACGCAAGATAACTTCCCCAGCAGCAATAGTATACCTGATTCTTTATCTATTGAGAGATCTTGTACTCCACCTTCATCTATGGAAGCTTCACATCAAAACTGTTACAGAGAAGAAAATTTGAATCGTGACAGTCTGAGGCATTCAAGAAATGGAACATCTTGTTCCGAGCTTGAAATGTCAAACATGGCCGCACAACAAGCTTATCCATATTATATGTCGGGAGTTATTAATCATGTTATGATGTCTTCATTGGCATGAATATATCAAAAATAATGACCTGCAGAATCATGCTGCTACATCTATGATTGCCCAGTACAATAATGTTTCACATGGCAGCGCTCATGCCACTGGCATGATGTCTTACCGGTATTACCAGATGAGTATGTGCTTACAACCTGGTCAGATTCCTACACCTAATTCATGGCCAACCTTTGGAGGCTCAAATCAATCCGAAGCAAATTTAAGTAAAGTTGTTAGGAGAGAAGCAGTATTGATTAAATTCAGACAGAAAAGGAAAGAGCGTTGCTTTGATAAGAAAATTAGGTATGTCAATCGAAAACAACTTGCTGAAAGACAGCCTCGTGTGAGGGGGCAGTTTGTCAGAAAGTTGAATGGTGCTTATATGGATCTTAATGGACAGCCTCCTTCCATTGAGTTTGATGAAAATGATCAAGAAGATGATGACCAGAGAGCTAAAAACTTTCCCAGGGATGCTTGAATACGTCAATTTGCTATGTCATCCAGATGATGAAGGACCAACCAATTCCTGTATTATCCTGTCAAAGGATCTGCTCATATTATTTGCTTCAATGGAAAGTTCATATGGGGGGATTGCAGATCTAGTGTATAAATGTTTCCTCAAATGATCCATACCTCCAACCGGCATGTCCAAAGCAGTTGAAAGCATCATACCATGATTATGTTTGATTGAACTGATAAAAGCAGTCTGTGCTTTGATATTTCTGTCATACACATTAAAATTTTCCTGATGAATCAGTTTTTGTCCAATATTCTACTTTAAATCAAAACTTTACAACTAATCTAAAAGCCTTTTAACCTAATTTCTCTTTGTACCGTTTCTTTTACCTCTCTAGGGAGTACATAAATATCACAATTATCCTTAGAAATTAGGTCAATTCTAAAATCATATTTTGATGGGACCTGGTGTTCCTGTGGGTTCTAGTACAGGTGAGGAAGAAAGGAACAGCAGGACACTGTTTTGAACACTAGAGTAGAATCTAATGTTGACTGGCCACTGTTCTGAACACTTGAAAGAAATAATATGGATGTTCAGAGATATTGCCAAGGTTTTCCTTGTACTTGTCTAAATAGCTGGAATTGATGGTTTAATTAAGCGGTTTATAAAAAATTAAAATTTCGATTGGTTTTATTATTCTGTTACAATATATGGTAAAAATTGTTGTCTAAACTTTAAACTACAATATTTAAATAAAGGTTGAGTAGCTGGACTCAGTGGTTTAATTAAAAGTGAATTGTTCAGGCACAACAAATTAGCCCCTCTAAAGTCTAAAATGAATTGTTAATGCATAGCACATTAAAATATCCACGAATTCTTTTTCATAAATGGTTCAATTATTCTATCCTATAAATTGAAAATTCACTTTGGAAAAGTGAAATAAAAAATATATATATATATTTACATCAAATTATTGCTGTTCCACTGTTTAATTTGCCAACTTTTTGTTTTTGGCATATTACCAAATGCTAGTTTAAAGTAAGCATCAAAGTAATTGAAACAATGAAGTATAAAAGACCATAACTTTCTTTGAAACACTGTCACATTGATGAGCAGCAAACACTTCAAATCTGAGATACACCTATATAGCAATCAAAGTTAGTAGGCTAATGTGTCAGCTTAAAATATATAATTAATATGATTGCAAGGACCAGAGCTGCCATCAAGGAGCCAACAATCCATTTGTTCCTGCTCATCCTTTTTGACATGGCTGCCAAAATCTTCTTGCTCTTGCTAATGTTATCATCCACTCCATGGAGCTGGATGAGGGAAAAAATCAGCTCATATGGAAAATTAGAAGTGCGCAGGAAAAACAGTTTTAAATAGTGAAGTGCCTTCCTTATATAGGTGTATTTACTAGTTGACCTTGAGTATCAAAAGCTAAATCATTTGGACAGGAAGGGGCCAATATATTACAAAATGGAAATCTAAGAGGTAGAACGCTTGAACTTACTGATGAATGGGCATGGAGTAGAGATTGACGTTGTTGATGCAAATCTTGGAGGATAGAGACACCGAGCTCCTCTGTCTCCAGCAACGTTTTTCTGCTGTTTGTTATTCTATCAGTGGATTGATTTAATCTCTCAGTAGTCATTAAAAGTCTTCCTTTTTCATCATTTGATACCTGTTCTAGCATCCATAAGTAGCAATGAGAATATGTAGTAAGTGAAGAGAGGTTAAAATATGGCTGTAAATAAGAAGCATAATAGTATTGAGAATAGATACACAGGTGGGATTCAAATGTCAAGAATTCAATGTTTAGTTAAACACATCTGCACCAGGCAATTGTTGGTGTAAGCCCTAGAGGCCAATACTTTTTTTGGTACTTGTATCGGATTATTCGTTTAATAATAAAAGGCATTTTTTTATTATGTTTGTCTTTCAGAATAATAAAGTCCCTAGAATAGTTAGTCTGTTTAATGAAATGTTAAGTGTGACTTAATCATGAGATCCCATTAAACATAAAGACATTATTCTTAAAATATCCGTAGTCAAGCTTTATTGCAAAGTGGGATAACATTAAAAGCATTGAGACTATTATGAAGATAGACTGATGATCACATCTCATGGATCATGGATAAAGAGTTATCAAGTCTTGACATAGGTATAAATATTAGGAGTAATATTTATACCGAATTGACCCGCGATGAGAATACTACATAGTATGTTATGCAAAGTGTCATAAGTTATTCTCATGGTGATAATGGTGTATTACCACCCTTCGACCTGAAACCACTATGGACCCTAGATGTAGAGTCGGGTGCTTTATTGCTGATCAAACATTATCCGTAACTGGATGATCATAAAGACAGTTGATGGGCACTCCACGAAGCATGCTGAGGGACATGAGTGTCCTAGATGGAATTTGCCAATCCTGCATAACAGGAGAAATGTCTAAGGGCCCAATATTGAACTGGACAAGGATGACACACTGTATGCCTTGTGTTCAATATAGACATAGGGGCAAAAGGGTAATTGTACAAACATATATTATCACGAAAAAGATTTTGTCAGATCACATGACATTTTCGTGACTTGGGTAGCAGTGATGTGTTGCTAGATACCGCTTACTGTTTATTATGTTAAATATATAATTTAATATAATTACCAACGTTACGAAATCCTACAGGGTCACACACATAAGGACAGTTTGATGAGAGATAGAGAAATCAAAAAGGAACACCGTAAGGTACGGTGCACTTAAGTGAAAAATAGAAATTCGGATAATATAATAATAATTATTGTTATTTTATAATGGTTATAAAATAATAATAAAATAAATATATTTATTATAATAATAGTTATTATAATAATATATAATATTATTATGGATCATGTGAATTGGGTTTTAGCCCGCAGCCCACAAGAGAGTCTATAAAAGGAACCCTTGTGATGAAGCTTTCACTTGATACAATTTCGTTTTGATTCTCTTTTCTCACTCAAATAATTCCGTTCGTAAGCAGCTAGCACTGTGACCGGAAGCTGTTCGTGTGGACTGAGTAGAGGCGTTGCACTTCATCAACGCTTGTGATCGCTGCATCAAAGATCTGAATCGCCACAAAGAGGTAACGATTCTATCACTGACCATGCTCATTCGTAAGGATCACTAAAGGAAATTTTTGTTTTCCGCTGCGTTTAGATCGCAATTTTCCTTCAGCAATGCCTCCCACTCCTCACCCTTGAAAGAACATAAAAGACTTCAATCCATTATGAATATACCATATACTCACTTGGAGGCTCATGTTTGAAGACAGCACATGACTTCCAAGATTTGAACCGGGTCCTTTAACTCTTACAACTCTTCTAATTGAGCTATCCAACCCCACTAAAAAAAAGCCTTTAGCACTATATAATTAACCACTATTCTGATCGCACTAGCATCTTCATCTTCTTACATGCGTAGTAATAAATCCAAACTAACAGTTCAAAAAGAATAAGATTGACAGCTATTAATAACCAAAGAAGCATGGATAAGAGATATACCGCAAGTGAATCAACCCTTCCTAACTCCAACAACGCATCCCGAGAAGTCGTACTGACATTAGCTGATGTGATTCTTTTAACTTCATTTTTCAAATTGTTCAAATCAGTTTTATATTCCCTTAATTTGGCAAGAAGGGTGGCCTTCATACTTGGCTGCAAGCTCCTAGCCTCAAGGTCCATTTTCCGAATCTGAAAATTTTCAAACAGGGATTATTAGAGTCAAATATCAGGTAGGGAGGAGAACAAGGAGAGAGGTTCAATTATACCAACGTATCAGCATCCTCCAATACAGCTTTTATTTCAGAAAGTTTCTGCTTCTTCTGTTCTACAACACGAAATGGTAACTGACAAGTCATTAAGAGGAAACATATAATTCTTTGCTTGTGTGGAGAAGGGGAGCTAAAGACTAGCAACCTTAACAATTTAGGTTAAGCCTCTTCAATGAAAACACTTTAATACAAATAAATCATCACAAGGATGAGCAGAAACTAGCATTTCACCTAGAACAAGCCTTAGATGTGCGTTCATGTTTCACATAACATACTCTTAATTTCATAAGCAGAAACTAGCTAAATAGAAATTCCGAGGATGAGCAGTGAGTGGCCATATAAGGTAAAAGTTTCACACTGCCCTGCATTCCCAAGCGTGAGATCTCAATCAAGCAAGTTCACGGATACGGACATGATTTTAGCAAAGAACATTGTTGATCGAAGGACTATGTAACCTGGTTTATCTTTGTGAGAAACTAAAAGTTGATTTCTTTTTCTTTCTTTCTAACTCTAAGTAACAGGTTCTATAGTTTATTGTGAGGAATGGAGATGAGACTTTACTCCTCAAAAACAAACACCCATGAAGAACAATTGAGAGTAAACTTAAATGTCACAACAACATGATTCAAGAACTAACAAACCAAAATTAAAACTATCCTTTCTATAAAAACATTCAATGAACCAATTTTGCAATAGAGTTGACTCTACACAACCTAGAAAACTGTTTAAGAAGTTAAGTAGCTACTTGGTTTAGATACATGTTTTCTGTTTTCACTTTTACTTACAATTTTTACAATATTGTCACCTTATTTTAACTTTGCCTCCTGTACAAATATTTGAAAACATGAAATGTGACAAAAATATACAACTAACACTTATCCCACTAAATTCCACTAAGTAAGGTCAGCTACATGGATCAATTTTTCCTATAATGTTCTGTTCAGAATCATGCTTCTATCCAAATCGTTAATCTCGATATCTTTCTTAATAACTTCTCTTATAGTTTTTATAGATATTCTTCTACCTCTAGTTGTTTGACTCATCTCCATCTGATCTACTCTCCTTACCATTGAATGTACATGTGTTCTCTCTGCATGCCCAAACCACTAAGTCTATTTTTCACCATCTTTTCTACTATAGGTATTACCCCAACTCTCTCTAATATTGTCATTTCTAATCTTATTCTGACTAGTCTTACCACATATCCAATCCAATGCAAAATCCTCATCTTGTGACAAAAATCATATAGAAAAATATTAAGTAAATTTCTCTACCCCACATTTCTAAAAAAACTACACATTGCTCTAGAAGTGTAAGTCTAGATTGCATAATTTGTCAAGAGTGTACTCTTCAAATCTCTTTCAAAAATCTGAGGAGATTTTGCAGTGAAAAAAGCTCCTCCGAAATTTATATCTGATAATTAGTTTTCCGATGCAAAACAAGATTTTCATTTTTTTTTCACAGTCACCATAATCTCAAAATCATTATCATCAAACAAAGAGAATCCATTACCTCCATCAAGACCAGAAGCTGCAGCGCGCTGCCGCGAAAGATCCGCGGATAACTCAGTATACTGACGCTCGTACCCATCAAATACCTCGCTCATCGTTCCGGATTTCTCTTCACCTACCTTTTCAATTCCAAATCCAACAAATCAGATTCAATACAATAACAAACAATCACAATTACTGTACAATTCAATTTCATCCACACAAAAAAAAACAGTTGTATATAATTGCAGAAATTGAATCTCATAAAATAACTATTGAAGTGATAATTGCATACAGAAACAGAAGAAGGTGAATGCGTATGGATGAAATGATGAGAGAGGCTAGCGAAAATAATACCGGAGATCGATCGGAGGGATCGCCGGAGGTTGATCGGTGGAGAGGTGGTGGTGAACACAAACGGAGCTGGCCCAAATGTTTTCCAAGGATTCGAAGAACGGCATTTGGTTGGATTCTAACAAACTCGGGCAGTTAATTACGCATATGCATGGAATTATCGATTGTACATTTCTGACCTTTACATTAAATGTTAGTGGGTTCATTTTCATTTAAAATCTATGAACTAGATCAAAATAGATTAAGTTATTTGGTTTTTTTAATATAACTAGGGAAAATCTCGGTTTGATTATTAAGCATAATTATTTAAAAGCTCTATTTAGTTTGAAGATTAGTTTTTTAAAATCTATTGTTTGATTTGAATATTAGTTTATTAAAATCTTTTGTTAGGTATGGAGATAATTCTATTAAAATCTATTGTTTGGTTTGTAAATTAGCCCGTTAAAATTTTGGTTTAATTAGTTGTAAGAAGGTTCGTGGGGGCACTTGTTGGTGCAAAGGTAGAATAAATGATGAAAAGAGAAATATTCTATTAAGAGAATGACGGCTACACACAACTATAAAATTGCAATGATTGTTACCCTATTTATAAGCTAATATTAGTGTTACTAGAATAAGATAAAAATACTAAAATACCCTCTAACAAACTTAGGGGTTAAGAAAATAGCACAACTAATAAATATGAATTACTTCTAATACCATCCCTTAATTCATATTCCATCAAAACTTGTAACACCAATTCCATCTCTTAGTATGAGAAATTGATCAGTCTTGATAGCTTTCGTCAGAACATCTGCCAACTGTTTCTGAGTGCTGCAGTGTACAACTTCTAACACTCCACTCTGGACTTGATGTCTCAGAAAATGATACTTTGTCTCAATATGCTTGCTTCTCCCATGCAACACTGGGTTTCTGGCAAGATTGATTGCAGACTTGTTGTCAATCATCAACTTCAGAGGTTTGTTTATTTTAATCTTCAGATCCTGCAACAGATTCAGAATCCACACAGCTTGGCATGCAGTAACAGCACCTGCAATGTATTCAACTTCACATGTTGATAACGCCACAACAGGTTTCTTCTTGGAACACCAAGAAATGGGACCTCCCAGAAATTTGAACAAGTATCCAGATGTACTTCTCCTATCAACTCTGTCTCCACACCAATCAGAATCTGAATAACTCAGAAGTTCTGACTCATCCTTTCTTCCAGAAGGAAACAACACTCCATACTTCAGAGTTCCCTTGATATACCTCCGAATCCTGACAGCAGCTTGGTAATGGGACCACTTAGGTTTACTCATGAACTTACTAACCATCCCAACAGAATAACAAATATCAGATCTGGTATTGCACAAATACCTTAGAGAACCAACCAACTGTTTGAAGGTTGTAGCGTCCACATCCTTTCCATCAGAGTCAGAATCCAGTTTCTGATTTGTATCTGAAGGTGTGACAGCAATCTTACAATTCTTCAGTTCAAATCTCTTCAGAAGTTCTAATTCATACTTGAGCTGATGCAAAATGATACCTTTCTCAGAATATCTGAACTCCATCCCTAGAAAGTATGTCATTTTGCCTAGATCAGTCATTTCAAATTCATTCATCAGAACTTTCTTGAACTTGGCTATCCCTGTTCAGAACTTCCAGACAATAGTATATCATCAACATATAAACATATCAGAGTCATATTGCCTTCAAAAGTATGCTGAACATAGACACCGTACTCCATCTCACATTTCTGAAAGCCTTGCTTCTTAAACAATGAATCAATCTTCTGATTCCAAGCTCTGGGCGCTTGTTTCAATCCATATAGAGCTTTGTATAATCTGTACATCATCCCTTCCTGATTCTTTTTCACAAATCCAGGAGGTTGTGACACATAAACTTCTTCTTCTAATGGACCGTTCAGAAATGCAGATTTTACATCTAAATGCATCAGAGGCCAATTCCTGTTAGCAGTTATTGCAATCACCATTCTGATTGTTTCATGTCTTGCTACAGGTGCAAACACTTCAATATAATCCAGCCCAGGTTTCTGTAGAAATCCTTTGGCTACCAACCTTGCTTTATATTTGCCAATTGAACCATCTGGCTTTAACTTATGCTTGAAAACCCATCTGACGCTGATGGCTTTCTTGTCTTTTGGAAGTTCTGTCAGCTTCCAAGTCTTGTTTCTCTCTATAGCATCAAGTTCTTCTTTCATGGCCTTCAGCCAGAGCTTCTGCTTAAGAGCCTCTTCTGTACTTATGGGTTCAGAGTCTACTATCATGGCACACTGAATAATTTCTCCTTCAGAGTCTACTTCAGTGTCTTGCAGCATGTCAAATTCTGCATATCTTCTGGGAATGTTTCTGATTCTTTGTGGTCTCTGAACTTTTTCAGAGTCTTAAGCTTCAGAGTTTCTAGCTTCAGATGATTGACTTCCTCCAGAGCCTTGACCATCTTCAGGGTCTGGCATATTTCTAGAGTCTTGAACTTCAGAATTTCTAGCTTTAGAGACCTGACTTCCTCCAGAGCCTTGGCCATCTTCAGAGTCTGAATTGCCACCAAAATCTGGATTGTCATTAGAGTCTGGATCATCAGAGTCACCTTCATCTTCTGAGTCTTCTCCAGAGTCTAAATCACTATCAGAGTCAACGTCAGAATTTACTCCAACTTTAGAAATTCTTAACTCTGACCTTTCTTCAGAAGTTCTAACATCAGAATCAGATTGAGACTTATCCCAATTCTAAACTTCTAATTCTTTCACAATCACATCTCTGCTGAATTCAATTTTATTGGTTTCTGGACAATAGAGCTTATATGCACCTGTACTGTGGTACCCTATCAGAATCATCACTTTGCTTCTATCATTCAGCTTCTGTCTTCTGGCTTCTGGAACATGTTTATAGCAAACAGAACCAAACACCTTCAGATGACTAACACTTTGCTTATCTCCAGTCCACTTCTGTATTGTAACTATTTCCTTCAACTTCTTCGTAGGACATTTGTTGAGTACATACATTGCAGTGGCAACAACTTCTCCCCAGAGCTTCTAAGGAAGCTTCTTCTCCTTTAGCATGCTTCTCACCATATCAAGCAAAGTGAGGTTTCTTCTTTCAGTAAGACCATTGTGTTGAGGGGTATAAGGAGCATTAACCTCATGCTCAATTCCATTCTCCTCACAGAACTTCTAGAACTCTTTGGAGTTATACTCACCTCCACCATCAGTTCTAAGAATCTTCAACTTCTGACCACTCTGATTCTCAGCCTTCATTCTGAACTTCTTGAATTCATCAAACACCTCATGTTTAAACTTAATAAGGGATACCCATGTCATTCTTGTTAATTCATTAACAAACAACACAAAGTATTTATTCCCTCCAATTGATGCTACTGGAAATGGACCACACACATCAGAATGTACAACTCCCAAGGCATGTTTTGCTCTTGGAGCAGCTTCTAACGCAAATGGAAAACGTGGTTGTTTTCCTTCCATGCAAACTTTGCATGACTTTTCAGGCTTCTTAATTGCAGGAATTCCATGTACCAACTTCTTTGAATTCAAATGTTTTAAGCTTCTGAAATTCAAATGACCAAATCTTCTGTGCCACAACTCACTCTCCTTCTCAGCACTTGTTGCACTAAGACATTCTGAGTCTGCAGTTCTGACATTTACCTTGAATGTTCTATTCCTTCCCTGTTCTGACTCCATAATCAACTTCTGATTGCAGTCATACAGCTTCAGAAGATTGTCCTTCATGGTAACTGAAAAACCTTTCTCAATTAATTGTCCCACACTCATCAGATTGCTTCTGATGCCAGGTACATACCACACGTTCTGAATCAATGCTGTTTTGCCATTGTTCAAAATCACTCTGACATTTCCCATACCTTTTGCATTAAGATATTTGTCATCAGCACATCTGATCTTTGTTCTCTTTTCAGAGTCAAAGTCAACCAGCCATTTCTTGTTTCTAGTAAGATGATTTGAACAGCCAGTGTCCATATACCACCAGTCTATCAGATCCATATTATCAGATTTAGAGGCCATCAATAGCACAGATTCGTCATCAGAACTTCTGGCTATATTTGCTTCTTCTTATTTTCTCTCCTTGTTTGACCAACAATCTCTAGCAAAGTGACCAAACTTCTTACAACAGTAACATTGGATCTTCTTCTTGTCATACTTCTCTTTTCCCTTCTGAGCATTCTTTTGTCTATCAGAGGTTGAGCTTTCTGACTTCTGACCATCATCAGATCTTCTCATGGCTTCTGACTGCTTCTAATACCTCCTATCAGAAGTTGCTTTCAGAGCCTGCTGCTCTACTTCCTTTTCAGAGGTTCTCTCAGTCAAACGCAACTCTTGCGCTTCTAGACTGCTCTGCAGCTCTTCAATTCTCATGGTGCTCAGATCTTTGGAATGTTCTATTGCTACCACAATGTAATCAAATTGAGGGGTAAGGGATCTTAATACTTTTTCAATGATTGCTTCTTCAGAAATAGTTTCTCCACACGCCTTCATCTGATTAGTGATCAAAATCATTCTGGAGATGTATTCAGAGACTTTCTCATTATTCTTCATGTTGAGATTCTCATATTGCTTTCTCAAGGACTGAAACTTCACCTTCTTCACTAATGCGTCACCACCATAACATTTCACTAGTGTGTCCCACGCAGCCTTTGCTGTTGTTGAATCTGCAATCTTCTCAAACACATTTACATCCACACATTGATGAATGAAGAACAATGCTTTCTGATCCTTCTTCCTTAATTCCTTCTG